CCCCCTTCTGCCCCCCCCCCGCTGCGCCCATCCCCCCACACTGTGCTGGGCCCAGCCCCGACCCCCACCTGCGCCCATCCCCCCACTGATGCACAGGGCTCAGCCCTGCTCCCCCCCAGCCCCCCTGCTGCGCCCATCCCCCCCCCCCTCCCCGATGCACAGGGCCCAGCCCTGGTCTCCCCCCACCTGTCGACGAGGCTGTAGAGGATCTCCTTGCCGGCGCAGTGCTCGGCGATCAGCACCAGGTAGCGGGGGGTGATGTAGGCCTCGTGCAGGCCCATGACGCGTTCGTGGTGCAGGCCCTTGAGGATCTCGTATTCCTGCAGGACGCTCTGCTTCTTCTCCGCCTCGTAGGGAATGATCTTGGCCATGAAGTGCTTCCCCGTGGCGTTCTCCTTGCACTCCCGGAGCACCCCGAACCGGCCCCTACGGGACAGGAGCCGTCAGCACTGGCTGCGCAATGGGGCTGGGCCAGACCCTCTGCCGGGGGGAGCGCAGCCCTGTACGGGGTCCTAGCCAGGGACAGCCCCCGGGCGCCTCTCTGGGCACTGCTGTGTGGACGCTGAGGGAAGGCAGATTCGCCAGGCTCCCCAGCTCCCTGCAAGTCTGGCCCCCTTCCCCCCCCCCGTGGGGATTTTCTTAATGTTGTGTGTGAATACTGTGTGTGCCTCAGTTTCTCCATGTGCTGCACGTTTGACTGGGGGAGGGGAAGTTGTTTAATCTCTGCAGAGACCCAGGTGTGATTGACCAGGAGGGGCCATAACTGAGCTGGGGAGATGCAGGAATGGGGCAATGCCGGCTGGTTCCGGGGACGAGCCAGACCTCACCCAAAAGCTACGGGAAGAACCAGGCTGGGCCTGGGGGGATCGAACCCCAAACCCAGCAGGGAGCTGCCTCGGTGACGCCCAGCAGCAGGTGGGCAGCCAGCCGTGCCGGGGATGTTTCCTGGCAGTGACTGGAACCAGGACCTGCCCCACTCCACAGCAAGACCAGCCTGGAGCCAATCCCCGTGCCTGGCAGCTGCTCCCCGTGCCAGCGAGCCCAGGCTGTGGGGCAGGGGCTCCAGGGGCAGTGCCCAGGAGCGAGCTGGGCCTGGCCAAGGGGGAATCACTGATAATATTTTTATGACCGTGCCTCAGTTTCCCCAATAAGCTGCATGGTTACGGGGGGGGGCGGCGGTTTTGCTCCTGGGGAGGCTCACAGACGTGGGTGTGAATGTCGCCGGGGAGGGGTCATTAACAAGGACTGGCCCAGCCCAGCCCCGTCTCAATGGGGAATCCCAGCAAAGCCAGTCACAGGACACACGGGGGACTGGGGGGATTTCTCCACCTGTCCCCAGGGGGGCTGGGCACAATCCCCCAGCCACCGAACAGAGGCCGGGGGAGGTCGGAGGTGGGGGATCAGAGCTGGCTGCTGGCAGGAGTGGGGGCTCTCGGCTGGAGGGGAGCCCACCCAAGGAGGTCAGAGACAGGGATAAAAGCCCCACGGCTTGGCTGCGGCTGGCCCGGGTCAGCTCGCTCGGGCTCGGGCTGCAGGACTCAACATTGCTGTGACCTGTCATGGTCGGGGCCCCAGAGCCTGGCCTCCCGCCGAGCCCCACGGTCTGCACAGAGACCTGGGCCAGCCGCCGGCCTGGTATCCCTGCGTGGGGACAGCCAGAGGCAGAGCGTGGGCCATGGGGCTCGCTGCCTGTGACTGGCCTCTGCACGATGCTTTAACCTCCAATCGCAGGGCTCCCTGGGCTGGCCCAGGTGACTAATAACCCGCCTGTCGGCCCGTGCTGGCTGCGTGTCCCTGCAGACGCTGGCGGAGGGGGCGCTGCCCCCCAAGTGGTACAAGTCTCCGTCGGGGTCTGTCTCAGGGGGATTCACTGCCCAGCACTCACAGGGGGAGCAGGGGGACTGCAGGCCCAGGGGTCCAGCCCCAGGAGGCGATGAAGCCGTGTGGCTTCCCCTGCAGGAGGTGTGAGATCCCTCGGGGGTCTGGGCCACTGACGGGGCCTCCCAGAGGAGGCCCGTGGTCCCACTCCCGGGGGTCCGTGATGCCGGGACATAGGGTCAGATGGGCCCCTCTTGATTGCTCTCTCAGACCCCCCCCAGAGGCAATGCAGAGCCTGGCACACTGCAGGGGACCCCGGGAGCTGGTCCGGCCGAACCCCGGTGCCCGGCACTAACCTCGCTTTCTCCTCCAGGAAGGTGTAAGGCTTCTGGGGGACCCCCTGGCGCAGCGCTGTGCCCTCCTTTGCCTCTGGAGCCCCCGGCCCTGTGGGGCTAAGCCTGCTCAGGGCGGCGCTCCGGCCCAGGAACCGCGTGGCCGATGGCTCCACCTCTTTGGGGAGCGGGGACGGGGCGTCCGTGGGGGGCGTCGCAGCCGGCATGGAGACAAAGGAGGTGACCATATACATGGGCGCCGCTTTGGGGGAGGGGGACACAGGCGTGGCCGATGCTGGAGAAATGGGGGAGAGTCGGGCAGGGAGCTGGGTTGGAGGGGCGGGCGAGCCCTGCACCGCCTGGCTGGTTGTGTGGGCAGCGGGGGGGCGCGGAGGGGCAGCCCTGGACGGCGTTAACACCAGCTCTGGGGAGCCAGACCCAGCAATTGCTGGAGGGACGGGAGGGGGGCAGAGCTGCTCTTGGGGGGCAGGCTCTGCCTCGGCACGGGGAGGCGGCTGGATGGTGGCAGAGGCACCCCCGGGAACAAGGGCCTGTGGTGCCCGGCCGGGCATGTGCACGACCCCTTTGTGCTTGCGGGGCGGGGTGGGGGGAGGGGCCCCCGCGGTTTGGGGCGCAGGCTGGGCAGGAAGGGTCTGGGTGGAGCGGCTGGAAGCTGCTGTCTCGGGGGCAGCCACGTCCTTCCGGGCAGCAGGAGCCGAGTGGGCAGCGCCGGGATCTAGACAGGAAGCAAGACAGAGCAGTCGGCCAGTGAGCGCCCCCCCTTGCCCCGCCCCTGGGGAAATGGGGGGCAGCCAGAGCCCGGGGAGCGACCAGGGCAGTAACCAGGATCCCACCCCCCAGCAGCCATGGAGCAAGGCAGCTGGGAGCCCCCCACCCCTCCCCACCGAGGCCAGCACATGCCCCCCTTCGGTGCAGGGCCCCCCGCCTGCTAGGGGGACCCCCTGCTTTAGTTTGGTCCATGACACACAAACAGGCCCCAACACCACCCAGTGCCCCACGATCCCCATGTCGGCGAGGGCCAAGCCTGCGCCGGGGGTGGGGCTGGGACAGGGGCCCCCAGGAGCTCGCTCACCATCTGTCTCGATGGCCACCGTCTCTGAGGGGTTGCTGTAGGGCCCCTGGCCGGCCTTATTGATGCAGGCCACACGGAACCTGGCCGTGCTCCTGGCGGGCAGCTCCGTCACGTTGAAGTAGCAGTCGGCGATGCCCGAGCTGATGGTTTTCCACTCGCGTTCCCCTGGGGAGGGACATGCAGCCGTCAGTGCCCAGCTGGGCACTTGGACACTGGCTGCGGTGGGAGATCGATGCAGCGCTGGGATCTGCAGGGAGATGGTGCCCTAGATCTGGGCAGCACGGGGCCCTAGCAGGGTCCCCAATCCCATCCCTGCAGCCCCCCCCCCCGATGGGCAGCAGGGGCACGAACACTGCCTGGGCAGGCACCCGGAGGTGCTGCTGGGGGCTGCCGGGTGCTCTCCAGTCTGGGGTCAGCATCCGGTGCTGCCTACAGATCCCAGAGCGGCGCAGGCCCCGAGGCTGCAGAGATCCTGTGACACACTGAACCTCCAAATAACACCCTGTAACCCCCATACACATCATTCATACGCGGGTGCGAGATCTCACACAAAGCAGGCCTTGTAAGCCATGATATGAACGGTCGTGATCTGCTGAACCCCATTGTTCAGTCCGAATACACGTATCGTTAGTATGAAGTGAGGAGCTTTTGCTGAACGGTTGTTCCTGAAATACGCTGTAAACGTGAGAGTCTCGGCTCCCAGGAGCGTTCAAGGATCCCTGATCAGCAGGGGAGTGGGACTCTGTGACGAAGTGGGACTGTTCTTAATGTTTCCTCTGAATACTGTGGGGGGGCCTCAGTTTCTGACCGACCCTCTGTCGTCTAGCAATTAATGGCCAGGCCCTTC